CCTGACAACCGGACAAGGACATTGACACCGACACAAGCCTGCGCCCGAAGCCCTGCATCCATGCACAGGATGCAATGCCATATTGCAATTAGTTGCAGGTCGAGACTTGCGGCGTGTGTGGTCAGCTAATAAGCAGGATGGGATTCCCCGACAGCCCGCCGGCCTGTTATCCTTTTGCCTGGGCACGCAGACTCGCCCAAATGGCAATAACAGCCGTCTGCAGCTTAAAGTAATTAGAATGCCATTTTCATGGGCTCCTCCCTCGCAGGACTCGGCAGGACTTGCCTCCACTGCCCGCTGACCCTCCATAAATTCATTCAAGCAACTTAAGCCGACTCCTGGCCGCTGCTACTGTCCCGAAATGTATAAAGGGACACCCATAAATGCGCAGCTTAAAGCCAAGAGGATTCGAGGCCATGACGCTCTGGCTACTTGAATGCAGCCCGTCCTGGGGGGGGGGTTGGCTGGACTGGGGGATTTACAGCGAGGACCCCGGCAGGACCCAGCTGCATTATTACGGTCAAAGTAAATTTATGTGCTCTGTTAATTGAATGCTGCGCCAGCGCGGGTCGGGACACCTCGAGTATCCTGCTGATCCTCGTATCGCTCCTTTGCTTTACTTTGCATAAATCCCAAATTTATTTACAAAAAATAACGAGCTGAAAATGGGTTTTCTGTCGATACTGGGGTACTCTCTTTAAGAATTTACCCGAAACATATTATTAAATCAAACCTTTATGAATAATCATCGATCACAGATGGAATTAAAATTTGTTTTTTTGCAATAATGAATTCAATGAAGTAACTATTAATTTTTTAATTTTGAATAATGTAACCCATCACTATTTCTATATGCTGTTTCACCGAAAGTGTATACCAACCAAGGGGGGGATATCGATAAATGCATGTAAATATGGCAATGGCAGGGGCCATTGTCATAGCGTTGGTCGCACATAAGGAGTATGCAGCTCATTGTTGGCCATTTTTCATACATTATAATCAGAAAGGATAATGTTAACGCCGCCAGCAGGAGGCAAGACCGCAGATGAGGCATTCGCCACAGCAAGCAACCCACCAATTATGGAAAACTTTACTTACTGTCTGACCTTAAAGCTTATGCTTTTGTCAAAGAAAATGAAAAATTTCAATGGCTTTTATTTAATAAAATTCCTTTAATAATTTTTAAATACGTTTCTCTGAATTTTTCCCTCGATTAACAGAACACTGATGTGTCTATCTTAACCCATTTCTCCTGTTTTCCTTCAGGCACTATTGAAACCACTCCAAGCGTAGGCCATAAAGCTATTTTATGGCCGGACTCCTGGCAGGAGGAGAGCCAACCGCGGACTGGGAAAATCTCGGGCAGCGGTGAAGTCAACAATTTCCCCAGAAACATTCCCCACATGCCAAACTATTTGATAATTAAGTAGATGCGCGACCTCGAGGAGCATAAATCACTTAATTAACTTGACGACACTTCCAGACAGACAGACAGGCAGGCAGCGAGCCGAGGGGGAACGGAATGAATGCATCCTTGAAAGTATTCCAAATATCTGAAAAGAAAATAAAAATACAAACCATGGAGAGAGCTCATGAGACTGAAGAATGAAAATCGATGCAAATGCGGCGGCTGAAAAACTATCAAATCTGAGGACGGCCCACTGGGGAGCCATCAATTCATCAAAATGCCGGCCTCTATAAATAGTCCCACTGAACTTTAATAAAATGCTAAAAGTTTCCTACACATCGGCACTTCAAAAGGCAGGCATGGCTGTGTTGAGATCGGACAAACAAATCAATACTGACAGAGGCTTTACAGAGGAAAAACTAAGGAGATCTTTAAAAAGATCATTTCATATAAATATAGCTAACATTTTGATTCTAATTTTCTTTAAAATTATACAGAAAATATTCCTATAAAATATGTATATAAATATATCCTAAAATAGACTTTTCTTTCAGTGTTTCCCATAGACTGCAACCAGGGAAAACGTTCACCGATCGAACCACTCGAAAGTGTCATCGACTCCGTTCCCCATCACGATCATCAATGGACCTCATTACCACGCCTATTTTGTGTTGCCACCAATGTGCGGTAGCCGAAAAAGGCCAGGGAATGAAAAGCAAAATACGAATACGCCGGCACTCAGCCGTGGCACCTCCACACATCTTCCCAGGCCGCCTCGCCTGAACTCAACTCTTCCTGGGGGCAGGCACGCCCCCTTTTACAAGTGATCGCAACTGTTCCAGCCATGTGTCTCTTCTGGCTGGCTGAAATATTTTGTGGCTGAGCAGCGGCAAGTGGGCGTGGCCCGAGACGCCCCCATCCCCCCAGCATCCACACATAAATAACCAAAGTTGTTGACAGTCTTTGGCACTGAAAAATATCATTAAAAGTGTATAAAATAAACGACTGCAATGATTTACTGGACTCGTATGTCAAACAACAAAATCTGAATTTAGTGGTGAGTAATTTGATTTGGGATCGCCCCAAGCATTTTATAATAAAATGTTACAAGCTGATATAAAGATGCTTTCAATGTTTTCTGAATTAATGAATCTATAAAAAGATATATTAATAATCCAAAAGTACCTAGCACAAGTTCAATTTCCCCCATATTGAGCTCAATCATAGCCAATAAATCAGCTTAAATATTCATAAGCGAAGCTTAGCAAGCTAATACTTCTTCAAAACAAATTACGTCACTTCCCCGGCATGAGATAAATATAATGATATTTTCACTCCCAAAGGAAGCCGTAATCAAATTCCCAGCAATGACAATGAAACACCTCCGACTCAGTGGGCCACGTGATAAGCTAATCCCCGTCCTGAAACTGACAAAACCAGCGCCTTCAGACAATGAAATTTGTGTGCAGGCCCAAATTGAAATGAGAACGAAAATGAAAACTCAAGAACTTATAAATTTCTCATGTGGTGCCACTGTCAGATTCGATTCCTTGGATGGCGGGGATCCTTGTCCCAGTTTCAAGACGAACCACCCACCGAAACAACCTTCGACCCACCCGTTTTCTCACCCTCTGCGATCCATCCGAGAGTCTGCAGATGACACCTCCGCCCGGCCGAATACGGTGGCATAACTGAATTTATCTACATATAAACAAATATTTTTCTTAAATATGACAGCACTTTGGGGGCGTGTCAATGGAAATTCGGGGGCGTCGAAAAAAGTGTGTTGGAAATTGAGTTTTAGAAAGTTTTTCCCATCTCTCTCGCTCTTGGATGGTATAAATTTTTGATTTGTCTGCCTTGTTCTTAGCCGAAAGTCCCTCAATATTGTTGTTGTTGCTGCTTGGGGGCGTGGGCGTGTGTGTTTTTTGGGCAGGGGCGTGGCAGAGTGTGTGTGCCCTGCTGTCATTGCTTGTTTTGCAGTTGACATTGAGTGGCGAACGGAGCCCGTCGATGATATGTTGTGCCGTCTGATGAGTGCCTGCCCATAATGATAATTCCGAGTGTGTGTGTAGGTACTATGTATGAGTGCCTGTTTACAGGCTGCTTATGTGGGAGTGCTTTTTTTTGGGGGGAGTGGGGGGTTGGTTAGCAAAGCAACCCCCTCGGAAAAATATTTAATAAAATGCCGGTAGAATTTAATTAGATTTTAATTGCATTTGCAACCGGAACAGAGTGACAAAAGCGAAATATCCAAGTTTCTGTTGCTAACAAGGAATCTGTTTTTGAGCGATGATTACATGGGGGTTGTTGACGGCCCTTATGAGGGTGGTATTATGATATATTGTGTTATTAACAAGGTATAAAAGTCAATGGGAATTTATTTCAATTTAAGCTCGCGTCAAAACACACGTCTTCGTCATCGAAGGAAAATTAATCCTATTATATCACCAATTAGCTTTAAGAAAATTCCTTTGATAAGAAAAACTATTTAAATTGTAATTTTTATATATTTTAAAGTTAAGAAATTAAGGCATATTCAGTCTCTAAAACCCAGTTCTTGAATTATTTCCATCATCTTATTATGTTATGCAGTTAAGAACACTTACATTCATCATAATTACTTAAGGTTACTTTCTTCATTAAAATTAACACTCGAGAACCCTTTCATCTTCGCCTCTAAGTTCAAGATTTATATTGAAGCCATTATTCAACTTCTTTTGATCTCGTTACCAGGAACCGAATCAAAAAAGTCTTTCCCAATCTCCTCGAAAACATTTCTTTGGCCTAAACCTTTTCAAGCCAATTAGAGCTGCTTCGCGTCGAGGCGTTACGAATCGGAAGTGATACAAACACGAACACAGATTCTCTCCGTGATCGAAATCATCATTTCTGATCTCCTCCGAGCACCATGAACCTTTTGCCGCACGACTTTAATCGCTTGCCGAGTCATCAAACGAGGTGCAACGGAGATGACACCTCTGGAAATGTGATTCGGAATGCCGAAAAGGGGGAGCGAGCCTTTGTGGCACAGAAAAATTGGTCAATTTAACACAATGATATAACGAGCTGAACTTGAAAATTTTAATGCGCTCGTTGAAGATGAATGCAGAGTTCACTTATTAAGTCATTACCTCAATTAGAAGAGGAAGTACTGCTGCACATATGGGTCCTGTGTGATGTAATCGTTCGAGTTCTACCCTGCATGAGGGTATGGCTTACTAATTTCCTTTTAATTACAACTTTCCAACGAGTTGTTTTGAGCTGAACAACCAAAACTCATCTGCAATTACTCCTCCAGCGGGGACGGGGGTCATTCACTGGCCTGGAGATGTCTTTTCGTTGTCGTCTTTGCCTTTATAAATATGCAGAAATTAGTGGCGAACAAATCTTGGGCAAGTTTTTGGCATTAACACCTTTCAATCTGAGCGAGTTGCAAACAACATTGCGAATATGACAAAATGGATTTGAGATGGTACAGTGGGTATTGACTGGGAAGGAATATATATAATTAGGATAACTTTACAAATATTTGATTTTTAAATCAAATTCTATAAAGAGAATACTATTTGAAGTGACTAAATATTTGTTAAAAAGAAACATATTTTAAACACCTCAAAATTTAAGTAAATAAGGCAATAACTTCATATTTCCAACAATAATCCCCAATAATTTGCTGTCCCTTTTAGCCAGCCTCCCCTGCACTTGCCTCACTAAGCAAGCACGCAGGAAATGTCACGACATCCAACTGCTCCGGAGGAGACTTCAGGTTTTTGCCCGCAGATATCTTGCAGTTGCTTTTCGCACTGCACTTTTGAATATGCATAAAAAATTGGTATTAAAACGTCGCATGTAAGACATTAATCAGCTGGCAAAGTGGCAGCAGCAGCATCGGCTGCAGGAGCACCGAGACAGACAGGAGCTGCGGGGCCAAGTGAGAAACCCAATGCGGTGGCTAGGTGAAGTCACTGAGCAGCAAGTTGAGCGCTTGCATCATGCGCTTGATTAATCTGCATTCCCCCCGCAAGCCCCAAACCCCCGCCACAAAATCTCAGAGTCCTCGGGAGAAATCCGCGCATAAGCAGCTTGACTCTTGCCAGATTGGACGGATGGTTGCCTGGACGGAGGGAGGGCGGGAGGTAGGTAGTGTAGTGTAGTGGTGGGCAACCAAACTTAACCCACTCCACGCAGCTCTTCTGGTTGTCGGGTTTTATTTTCGAGTGCCCACACAGCACGAAAAGCGACCGCAACTCTTTGCCTGAACAATAAATTCACATTAAGAAAAGCCAACAAAAAAAAGTATATACATACATGAAAAGTTTGTTTCATTAAAAACATTAGAATGAAGCGAACGGAGAATGGGAGGCGACAGGCGAGACAGGGCCCTACCATAATTTTGCATGCCTGCTGCCGGCTGAATAATACGAATGTGCCTGTTGATTGTTTTCAGCATCTGTAGCATTGAGTGATGAGAAATATTCCCCACTCCATCCGAATCCCATTCAAGAGGCACACATGGCTCTGCCTCGGTTGCCACAAATATTTCCCCCTAGAGTCTCGGGCTGGATCTGTGCCATCGGGCATTTCATTTGCGAGAAGATTTTCCAAAACATTTACAATCCTCAAGATCTTGCTAAGGCCAAATGTTTATTAAAAGCGAAGAATGAACGGGTCCCTGGAGAGGGGTTTTTACGAATTTTTACTACCCTAGAACTCTTTAGTATTCATTACTAATCTACAATTCATTTAAATTGTTGAGTAATCATTAAACGGAATTATTTAGTAAAGAATAATTAATCTAGATCTTAACTTAGATTGTATTAGTACATTGCAGTCGTGAATTTAGTGAAAATGTTAGCCAAAACTTTACCATTTCTTTCTTTCAATATAGTTTCCAAAGATATTCCCCTAACCCAACCCCACCAAGAGTGCTTTCCAGCCACAGAAAATACGAAAAAAAAAACAGACTTTCAACACTGCAGACATTGGGCCCCCGACTAGATTCCGATACCGTAATTCAAGTGGCCAGACTTTGACTACTCGGCGGCTAAATGCAGCGCATAATTCACAATGAGTGATTCTTAAATCGTCCATTAAGATAATTTTTATGGTAGAGCGAGCCCCAAAGGGGGAGCTTGCAGCATCAGCCCCTGCCGAGGCCGCCAGCTCCTTCTTCGTTTATCAATTAGGGCGGCAAACACTCGGCTGGGCCGCTCGCTAATTATCAGCAAAATGCCTACACATGGCAAACCTGAAACGGGGATCTGCTCTGGCCGTGGTCCAAATTTAGCAATGTCTAAGTGCATCCCATGGATGTGTGGATGCGTTCCGGGACTGCGTCATGCTCGACAATTTTTCACGCTTTTCTTGCGCTGCTTTTCCCGGCAGCCACAACAACACTCCCTACCATTTTCCGATTGCCAAGACAAAGCAATGTCTGGGCCCCAAGTTTGCCGGCCTATGATTGATGTGCAGTTGATGACTATATAACTTTGTATGATTTTTCGAGTTTCCCCCGGGACGAGGACCGACTTCGGGAGCAGGCCTGGTTTCGTAGGTGGACGAGTCTTTAATTAGTTTGGTTTCCTCGAGGAGTCGAGGGGGGAGACTTTTGCTCATTTGCCTGGCGTTAAAAATGTTGAATAATTGAAATTTCTTGGAATTTTTCATTACTACTCGAGCGGGATGGAGCGTTAGAGCAAAGTAAAATTTGTTTTGTGGTCGCGTGGCGGTCTTTGATATTTTTTTTAAAGCATTTCCCAGCTAAGTCTCCCTTTTCGGTCGGCGATTTTCATTGGAAATTGAATTTTGTGAGGCTTTCCTGCTTAAAAATTAGTGATTGTGACTAATTATGCTGTCGCTGGCAAACTAAAGCAATTAGAGAGATTTGCTTGGGGAGTAATTTGCTTTGAAGTTGAGGAGGCAGCACGCGATCGAAAAAGAAAAATAATACGTAAGGAAATAAGGTTTCATTTTATAAAAAAGCAGAAGTTAACACTTAAGCAACTTAATAAAAGAAACTTGGTAGCAAAACCTTTGCTAATATTAACTTTAAACTTCCTGAAACATTGTAAGGATACCTTTAAGGAGAGGAATAAATCCCACAAATGTCCCCCTGATGAATTTCCTGTCCTCCATCAATATATGTCTCCAATTGTCAATCGAAGCCAAATGACTTGACCGAAAAGTTTAAAGCTGATCAGCCCGCTTCCTGCACTTTGTCTCTGGGCTGCATTTGACGAACAGGTCACGTACGGCGTGTCATTGCTGAGCGGCTGCCAGCCAAATTGGCTACAGTAAAGCATCCGCCGCATTATCTTCATCTTCATCACCGAGGCGACTCGGTCTGTTCCCGCCTGCCCCCTGACCGAAAATAAACTGAAACGAGGCGCCCACAATTACGTTTGAGAACTGCAAACTGCAAATGGACAGCAAGGTTTGTGCAATTTTTCTATTGAATTCTCGCTGAGAGCTCCTCGCTTCTCCTTTTCGCAGCAGCTCTTGGCCGGCAGCGAGGCACGTGCTCGGAATGCTAAGGAACCCAACCGGGGAGACGCCAACAATGTGGCAGCTTCCTCTTTGGAGAGCTCAAGCATTATGATTGATAAGTTCGTTTTGTGAATTTTTCATAAATTAGGCAACAGCTGTGTGCCATCGGGGGGACCGGGGCTGGGTGGCGGCGACCCATCATCGAGTGCCCAATCGTGCGCCATTTGTCTATTTTAATTAAAGGAACTTGGCGCTGATCTCATCCCGTCCCCAGCTAAGCCCGGCTCCATCATGGCCGGCTCCTTTGTTTGGCATCACGCACGTCTGGCTTTCCTTCGGCTGTTAATCAGCTGTTAAGCGGTAGGGGAATGAAATTTTAATAAGAGCTTTAACATAAATCAAATCAGATCCACTGACCACCAGCTGCCGCTGACTCCACCGAGGGGAGGGATTCTGCTTTGATTGGCAACTCATTTGCCAGCGCAATTACTTAATTATTTTTCTAACCGATAGATGGAGGGGAAAAATTGGAACATATATTACTTATAGAACACAAAGGCTATGAAGAATGGGTCTATATTAATTACACATATAAGAAAAGTAGATATTGACAGTTGTTAAAGGAAAATCTTTTGTAACTTATCAATTTGATATCTGTGGAATATCATGTTTCTTTAATTCCAAAAGAGTTTTTCTATGAAAAAGACTCCAATTATCATCTCCTGTTTTAGGCACCTTTAACAATTTTCCCCCAAATTACCCTTTAACTGCATCTTTCCCTTTGAATATTCCTATCCCACTTTTTCCTTTAATCCCCATAATTCTTCTCATAGCAACCCTTTCTTAGGGACTCTCATTCTCACATTTGCAAATAATTAAGTGCCTTGCTGGGGCAATTTAAATCGCGTGCTGTCCAAATGCATTAAGCCACATCAAAACAGAGATGGCGACATCAACGCCAGCCCCACTCCATTGTCCTGCCGTATTCCCCCACTTATTAACAGCGCCGTAATCTGAATGCGAAATCAAGTCGCAGTGCACAGCCCACAATAACAGTTGACAACTGTCGACGGTCGTCTGGCAGGCATTTAAACGCTTGTCAAAATTATATAAACTGCTGTCACAAGTGCCGGCGGGAACTAGGGAAATTTTTCCCGGCACAGCGTTCTTTAAAGTGCAGCAGGACACTGCTAGAAAATATGGGAAACTGAACCGAAATCTAAGATATTAAAAGTAATTTCTTATGCCTTGTATTATTGGCTTACTTACATATCATATTGTGAAATTTAAGAAAATTTAAACATATTTTATTTAAATAAAAATGGTTTCTTTCAAGTGTAAAGATGGGATCCTGGATCTGCAGTCGGAACTCGTCGTTTCTGTGGCAATTAATGCGAATTTCGACATCATAATTAAAGCGCTTGGTGACGACGCTGGGTCTCGTCTTGCGACCGGGTCCATTATATTTAATGAGTGAGCCAACGGAACCAAGTGAAGCCAGAAGGCCCGCGGAGGGGGCTGAGTGCCAGGCCAGACCAGCAGAAGTAGACCGACCCAGACCGGTCCCAGACCCATTCATTCACTTTTGATATTTGCATATTTTCACATGTCATTCGGCTTTTTGGCATTTCTTTTCCGCCTTTTGTGCGCCGCAAATGCAATTGCGCTGGGATGTGGCCCGTAGTCTGTAGTCCGCAGTCTGAGGCGAGATCTTCATGCGGGAAGATGAAGTGGGGGCCGCGCATAATTAGCCGCAGACTTTTGCCGGTTGACAAACTCTTTGAAGAGCTCCTCGAACCGCAGACACGTGTGCATCTCTCTCCCAGGGACTCCGCCGGTTGGCTTATTTATTGTTGGCTGGATGTCTTAATTTATGAACGACTGTCACAGCGCAGAGACCTGCCATCGGTCGCTTGTTTGCGATGAGATGGCACTGAGATCTCGGCAGACAAGCGGATCCATTCATTGTCCCTATATGACTCAACTGGAATCAGCTCCCAAAGCTGTGATTCATCCGGCATATCCCAGAGAGTATTGTTGTTCAATCGCGATAAGCTTTATCTCCGGCATTTGGCATTCAAAATTTATGAGTGCGACTTGCAAAACACTTTTGGCCTCCCCGAAGTTCGCCGCCCCGCTGCCAGCCCTCAAGTGCAATCAAATAATTGTAATCTCTTTCAAATTGCAGTTAAGTTTTACTTCCACTTCGCAGCCAACTCCCACGCGCACTTGATTATGCTGATGAGCACGTAGCTGTAAGCCGCAATGCACTTCTGGTTTTGGTGGGCCAGAGCCAGCAGAAGAGTGCTTGGCAAACTGACTTTTCGGCATTCTTAATTAGAGTAGATAATGTGATGGCTTTGGGGGCTTTTCCGGCTTGGATTTATTTGCCCAATTCGATTATAAGTAAGTGTTGGTCAGCGGACCGAGGGCCCAAGAGCTGGTTAAATGCTGCGAAAAGATTGCGTGATTTGAAAAGTTTGCCGAGTGAGTTTCATAGAAAATTCATGAGAGTTTAAAGAACAGTGAGGGAACTGGATTGTTTGACTATTATTATACCCTGCAGATATAAAAATTATAGAAATTACTCATACGACAAGTGTGCCAGATTTAAATTCTAACAAAATATTTTGTCACAACATAAAATACTGAAAGTTTATAAATAATATACCGAAATTTCCATGAATATATAGCAAGGTATAATAGGTATATATCTCATCTAGAGATTAACGAATGTTCATGAATGCTAAGACCCACAACGACCTCATAGCTCGTTACCAAAATTCATTGCTTTGAGTACCCAGTAGGCTTTGCTTTTAGTTTCAAACTAACTAATTCTTTCCACCTAACCTGTCACAACGGAATTCAGAATGAGCAACACCCAAAGACCAAACGACAGTATTTTGATTAATATCACCGAAGATGTACTGCGAGCCACGGACGTTTTGACCCAGAAGGGTCCAGTGAAGCAGGTGCGAGGCGACTCGGATCTTTTCCGCTGGGTTCGGTCGCAGGCCTACCGTGATCTGATCGCCTACATAAACAACACTAGCCTTGCCCTTCAGGGTCGTCGCCTAACCGAGAGCTTTCCCGTATCAGAGGAGATGCAACGACTCTGCGACATGTTTGATGACCTGGAGCGTCCTTTGGCAAAGCACACAGACACATCAGCTTCATCGAAGGTAAGCGTCTCCTACCTGGCGTGGCTGCGGCACATGTTCCAGATCGTCCTGCGTCAGCTGGCCGGGGCCGTCAGCGGGGAGAAGTGCATGCACATACATGAGCTGGGGGAGTACCTTAGGCGCTCCTTCGGCAATGCCACTACTCTGGAGTTTGGCCCCGGGAACGAGCTGATGTTCCTGTTCTTTCTCTGCGGCCTATTTCGGGCTGACATTCTACGGGCCAGAGACACCGTGGCCGCCGCCCTGATGCTCTTCTACCGTTACATACACCTGGTGCGCCGCCTGATCGCGATATATAATCTGCCCATATCCAGGAACCCGAGGTGTGCCATCGAAGACTACTTTTTTGTGCCCTACCTTTGGGGAGCCGCGCAACTGTGCCTGGACGCGCCATTCTCTCCGCCGCAGTGCGACCAGCCAAAGGCGATTGAGAGCTATCGGCACGACTACATGATGGTGAACTTGATCGAGAATCTGCCGGAAAAGAGCGGGCCGCTCAGCCACAACGCCTTTCAGCTGTGGTGCATCCTGTCCGCACCAACATGGCCGGAGGTGTACCGAGGACTCGAGCGCTGCTATATTAATCACATTCTGTCATCATTCCATACCGTTGAGAATGCGATCTTCTGGGAACTGATGTCCTTTGACATGGCCCCGGCGGAGGGGCTTTTGCATCGCCCATCTATGGGCCAGCGGGAGAGGCGGGTATCAGGAGTGATACAGCAAGAAGAAGGGCCCGTCCGTCCGTATTCCAGCCTGGGTCTTTTCACTAGCCTCCACGAGCTACAAAAGACGTCTGAAGAGGAAACGGATGACGACGACATGGGAGATCGTCTGGTAATGCTCCACCCAACGACCGAAGTTGCAGCTGGTTTGGAAGATTTGGAAACTGGCGAAAGATTAAGTGATACTTCTACTTCCAACACCTCAGCTGAAACCCGATTCTTTATGGGCAAAGACGATTGAATTAAATTTTCAATAAATTATTGTCATAAATGCAAATAAAGTAAAGAAAAATAAAACAGTTAAGAGCTAATCTATTAGGTATTAGGGTAAACTCTTCTACTAATGTGGACACTTGTCTGGAAATTTCCTAGGCCTTTGCTCAGCTTCCCCTGATCTGCGATCCGCCAGCGGAATGCACTTGATAAATTGTTTACTTTGGAATTAATTACTTGACTCATTGTTTGCTTGGTTGGCGGAAGTGCCAGCCATTGACCGCCAAGGGGCGTTGTGTTAGCCATGTTAGGCCTGCTCCTTGGTGCTGCATAAATCAAGTTAGCAGCGCCGTTTCAACACTTTTGCAGCCGCTCGCTTTTATTGCCCACCTATTTTTTGTGCCCCCGATCGTGGCAATAAAATTGCATTTAATTACACGAGTGCAGCAGGAACGGGAGGGATGCCAAGTGGGGTTGGCCATTGGGAAATTGGCCTTGGTTTGGACCCAGGCCAGCTCTTCATTGTTGCGCGCATTTTTGAGCTCATTAAACCGGCTGCAATTGTTGCCATGCATTGCGTGAGCCGCTTTTGTTGTTCCCTCTGCCGTTTCAGCCCTTTTGTTGGCCGGCAATCAATTTGCAGCCAGCAGCAGTCTGCCGCTTGCGAAAGTTGCAGAAATGCAAAAATTAAATTATATTTGTGGGGCCCCGGCACATCATTAAAATGCATCGACCTGGGAGCAAACGAGGCGAACACCTCTTGGCATGCAGCTCTCCTTCGTTTGGGTGGAATTTCAAAAATCTCCCATCGCAGTGGAAGGAAAAACCCAGGACCGAAGAATGAAGACCATAATGTTTATAATCAGGCTGGGGAATGCATGAGTTTTCTCCCATTTTGCAAAACAAACATTGAACAAAGGAATAACAAGCCAATGGAGAGATGACTAATCAAGAGAAAGAGTCTTTATGATATCGGAAAAGGTTAGATCCAGCAAGGGAAGGTATCAATTTACACTTTCATTTTATTGCTAGTGTCAGCGAATAATTTTAAAAAATAATATTTATATAAAGATTAGATTAAAAAGGGTTGGGATTTCAATCCAAATCTCTGGAATAGAAATTTAAACTAAATTTGTAGAGAATTCTCACGAAACCGAAAACTTTTGCCACTACTTCTGCCTCAATGATTCTTCCCTTTGAATTCCCAAAGAATTCTCCCACTCTCTTGTCAACTGTAGACCATGTTTTGTTTTGCTGATTGACTTTCGCATGCAATTTCCATGTTTTCCCTTAACGCCTCAATGATTGCCAACAATGGCGGGAGAAGTGCAGTCCATAGATGGAGATGGAGACGGTGACGAAGACATGGCAAGATGGCGTGTGGCAGAGCCATAAAGCTGCTAAAAGTGCCCTGCCTATGGAGCTTATAAAATACCCAAACAAACACACTGGGAATGCGCTAAATGAATGCAATAAACCAACTGGAAGGGTCCCCAGTCTTTGTTTTATGGCCACGCTTCGCTGAGTTCTAGGGGAGGCTCCATTGTTCCATCTCGCTTTCTCCGCGGCCATCTACCGCTCGCTCGGTCTCTTTTCGACCTGTATCGGGATCAGATCGCTGGCAAATGGCAACAATCAGCGTCTGAGAATTGCCAACTGCAACGGCAAAGGCAGCAGCAATGGCAACTTCGACTTCAACTTCAGCTTCAGCTTGGACTTCAGGCCAAGTTGGACGTTCTGTCCGACTTTGCTGCTTTTGTGGAGCGGGAGCAATCAACGCATTGTCGACAGGTGGAAAACTTCATGGCCAATGAATTGCTGTTACCATGTTTTAACCCTTTTAATACCCTGGATAGGGGTACTAATGAAAGCCTCTTGACGGAGGAGTATATTTGTAAATTTAAAATACATTTTAAATATAATATTAATAGTCAGAATATCAATAGTTTTTATATCTGCAAAAAAAGCACTCTTAAAAATTTCTGAAATAATTTTTAATATAATTCCTGGAGCATCTTAAGATTGTTTACAGAAAAAGTAACAACATCTTCCCAAGTTTTTATGCTTCTAAGAGCTTTAAAATTTATTGAACAAATTTTTCTATAGTTTGTATAGAGTATTAGGACTTCGGCTGTTCAAAACTATCATGTCTTTTTCATTTTATTCCGCTGCCGTTGTATTTTGCATGGCCTGAAGCTGATTTTGCTGCTGCCGCAGACTGACAGCAACAGTTTCATTTCGTTTCACTCCTTTTTTCTCCGTGTGTTGACGTGGCCAGTAATTTGTGTTGTTGCCGTTTGTTGGTTGGTTGGCCAAAGGGAAGAAGGGCCCACAGCAGCGGCAACAACAACAATGGCCGCAAACACACATGCAATTTTGTGCATTAAAATTTCACACTGCACTCGCTTGTTGTTTGTTTATTTGTTTGTTTGTTGGCTGGCTTGACTTGGCTCGGTCGGGTTGGTCGAATGCTTTTTTGGCTTTTCAGGCTTTCGTTTATAGAGGGGGGAGCGGAAATTCCTTTTGGCCCGGTGCATTTACTGTTTAATTTGGCATGCATTTTGCTGACTCCATCCTCCTTTTTACCCCTTTTTCTGCATTTTCTGCTGATGTCGCCTGCCACAAGCAGCTGACAACAAAATGGCGATAGTGTCCTCCTGCTCCTGCTCCGGCTCTCCCTCCGCTGCACACCTTGTTCATTGCACCTGGCTGAAACCGAGGACGTCATCGTCATCGTCGCCGTTGCCTCCTGTCAACAGCCACGTTTTTTGGCCTTCGTGGGCGTGGTCTTGAAAGCCCGGTTAAGAACGGGTTAAAGAGGCAAAGTCCGCATTTAATTTGGCTGAAATTTAATTAAGGCAACTCAACTCAACTGTCGGCCATGCCGACTAAGAGGCATCGGGCGGATTTCAATTAACCAGGTTGAAAGGTAAATATTAAATAAGTGAGTTTTATTTTTTATGGCGTTATTAAATGCATTGATATTTATTTAATGAATACAGTCAGGTAATGCAGACTTATTTCTACTTTTATAATTAGCTGTTTACTATTCTTTTGAAATATGAATTAATTATTATTAAATATAATTGCTTTGATTAAAGGGATATAGTCAGAAAGAAATCAAAGATTCTAATAGTTTATGCTTTATAAAGGTTTAAGTTGCCTAAAAATTAAGCAAGCAAAAAAATTCACTGTATTTAATAATGTTATTTAACTTTAAACTCTCACTTAAGCTTTTCCCCAACTCACTCGTTGAGTCCTCCTTCAATTTGAACAATTTAAAACACAAATCGCTGGCCGACCCGGCATTGTCATCATGCAAATGCTTGCCATGCATATTTAATGCAAGTTCTCCTCTCTTTTTTTTGGCAAGAAAAAATGCGGAAAAACTCTGGGCCCGCAGTAAACACTTTTCACGATCAGTGGGCCATATAAAAGAAGTCCTCCTGTCCTGAATTTCCCGGAGTGAATGCATTACGCTAATTAATTCTTGATATATGGCGGAGTAGCTGTGGCCAAAACGAGGCCACAAACCTGCAACTGGCCATAAAAAGGAGACGCCGGCAATAAAGGAAACCAAAGCGCAAAAAAGGAGAGAAGCAAAAAACAGTAAGCTAAAAAAAAGGAGTAATATCTGCATTTGCTCCAGTTATTTTCTTTTTATTTTCTGCAAATGTACTGCCACTGTTGCCGCTGAAGCTCGCTGTAAATTCACGAGGGCAATTAAAATTTAGCAGGCTTTAAGGTTGTGCTCCTGCAGGAGCAACGGTGACAGATGCCGCGGTTAAAGTTTAATGACAAAAAGGAAAAATATTAAGAAAGAAACCAAAAAAAAAAAAGGAATATCAGGGAGTAGGACGTGGTATAAGCAGCGAAAGTGAACAGTTGCCAGCGTCTGGGATGTGTATCCTGGCAAGGATGCAGCTTCCTTAGCTTTTTTTTACATTTTGTCCAGCCACATGTGTTTCGCTACACTGTGGGTTAAATATTATATATAAAAGTATATATCGGTGTAATGTATATAGAAAACTCTATTTCAATCTAAGTTGAAGTCTACCTTTAGATAAACCCTTAACCCATTAGCTTTTAATTTAATTTTAATTTGTAATATTATTTAAAAACTTTCATATTCTTTCAGTGCTTTTATACACATGTGGCACAACGCATCTCCGACAGGAAACCACTCGCAGCCACCGCCAAAATGTGGCAACAGCGCCAGAGACAACAGAGGATGAAGGAAGCTTACTTCCTATTCCTATATGCAGACCCACCCCCACCACGTATCCTCCTCCCGCTGCTAACCAACTGCTAAACGCACTGAGAACTTTCCCACACACATACTCGTATGCAACATTCTGTTGCTTCTGCCGCGAAGCGAAAGTGCGCGGAAGTAATAAAACATGCGGGAGGCGAGGAGCGCGGAGGCTGCAACTTTTGCGACGCTTGTTGCACTCGCTGTTGCAATTGTCTGGAAAGTGTTGCGACACTGACGGCGAAGGCGAAGGCGAGCCAGGAGGGTTGCCTTGCCCCCAGTGGGTGGCAGCATTTGTGCTTAAGTGCCGCAATATTTGCAGAGCGGCGAATATTTTTCCATGAGATTTATGTCTGCGGCTAGACCAGCATATGGAGAGAAAATTATAACTGCCACCTAGGAGTAGTGGTAAACAGAGGAAAATGGAGCTTAAAGAATCTATAATTATAACGAATTTAAATCAAAAACTTATTTTCCTGGAAGTGCTGATCCCTTAAAATAATATGTATAAATCACTCCATAAAATTGGGTAGTCCCTTATCGAAACACAAATTTAAACTGACTGGAGTTTTGGCAACTTTTAAGACGATAATTGCCTAATGACCCAACTGCATCAGGTGCTATTCAGCATGATTTGTGTTGCAAAAAAATGCCAAGACGCAGTCATCGAAAGTGAAGTTAATGGCTGGCCGCAAGAGTCAGGATACACCTACTGGCGGGTCAAAGGAGAAGGAGGAGCTGTATCCTGACCAACAGCTGCCACACAAGCACCCCGAGCACCTATCCCGATCCCGATCTCGATCTAATTTAGGCGTATTAGTTGCCCCGCAACAAAGGGC